CAACTTTTTCATTGGAAATTAGAGGGAATTTGAATTTTTTTTTATGAATTTAAATAATACAACAATCTCCACGACTAATTACTATAAATGATAGACATCATGGTACGAAAGAATGCACGGACATTTCCACATAACTTTTTCATGTGTGTGATGAAACGAAAAAAACCTACCAGGTGGTTTACTCTTGCATTATCCCATGCAAATACTAACCACGACCGATTTAGCTTAATTTTAGCCATCGGTCAGTCATCTAACCTCACTGGTGTACGAATAATTTGAAATTTATTGGAATTGGCGGCCATTTCATGTTTAGAAATATTTTAAAATCAATATGGTATAATGTGCTTATAAATGGGCATTTTCTCTACATTCACGTAATGTTTTCGCATTTTAACTGCGGGGTTGGCTTTACAATGACTTAGGTCAAACATACAAGCAAATTCGCAAACTTTGCAATCGCTTTCTCCAACTTTGCACACTGTATTTTAACAGTTTACAGACAGCTCATGTGACAACGTGCTAATATAGGCTGTTTTCATCTGGTTTTTATTAATTTTGTTGACGTTGTAACAACGGGGCTCTGTATGCCAACAACTTAAAACAAATTTACAGATACATCTAACATTTGCAATTACTTTGCAAAAAATTGCATCCGTGTGTTAATGGCCTAAATCCACGATGTGCCGACAGCATCATGAACTTTTTCATTGAAAATTAGAATGAATTTGAAGATCTTTTATGAATTTAAATATTACAAAAATCTCCACGACCAATTACTATAAATGATAGACATCATGGTAGGAAAGAATACATGGACATTTCAACATATCTATTTTATGTTTGTGATAAATCAAAACAAAAAACCTAACATGTGGTTTACTCATGCAGTATCCCATGCAAGTACTAACCACGACAGATTTAGCTTAATTTTAGTCATCGGTCAGTCATCTTACCAAACTGCTGTATGAATAATTTGAATTTTATCCAAATTGGCGGCTATTTCATGTTTAGAAATGTTTTAAATTCGATATGGTATGGGCATTTTCTCTACATTCACGTAATGTTTTCGCATTTTAACTGCGGGGTTGTCTTTACAATGAATTAGGTCAAACATACAAGCAACTTCGCCAACTTTGCAATCGCTTTTTCCAACTTTGCACATTGTAGTTTACAGACAGCTCATGTGACAACGTGCTAATACAGGCTGCTTCCATCTGTTTTTTTTATTATTTTTTTCGACTTTGTAACTACAGGGCTCTGTATACTATGATGAATTAGTTTACGCGTATCTGTTGACTTAATTAGCTGATTACGAGCGAATTGCTGTGTTATGTCTGTCATCGTTTAGGCTTATTTGAAGTTTTGGACGGAACTTGGCTCAGTGATTTGGAACTAATTACGAGATAACCGTCGCTATTCAGACTACTCTTTCTGACAGTTGGTATTCGTAGTTATTAATTTAGTGAACGATTAATCAAAAGATATGACGTATTCAGTACTTTTACTGCATTGTAATTGGTTAAGGTTTTGAAAATGAATAAAGAGAGTTTAAGTTGGTCTTGGCGAGTACTCCACAAAAGACGCAGTCGAGAGTCCAGTCCTGGAGAGTCTACGGCAGTCTAAGCACAGTCTTGGGCCAGCCTTGCGATAGTCTTAGGGATTTTTCCCCAGGGCGCTGTGTCTTATAGAGTGCTCGACTGATCGACCAAGACGAGAGTTGAACCGTATTTCGTTGTGTTTATTTGACTGTAAAGCTTAAGTGACTTTCCTGATCCCGTACCTCAAGGGGACGCGATAGAGAGACGAGACGAGTTTCCCCCTGACAAGTGTGGAGAACCCAGAGAGAAGATTTCCCCCGTGATAATACCAACAACTTAGAACAAATTTACAGATACATCTAACAACTTTGTAATCACTTTGCACAATATTGCACAACTTTGCACTGTGTGTTAACAACCTAAAGCCACAATGTGCCGGTAGCATCATGAACTTTTTCATTGAAAATTAGAATGAATTTGAAGATATTCTATGAATTTAAATATTACAAAAATCTTCACGACCAATTACTATAAATGACAGATATTATGGTAGGAAAGAATACACGGACATTTCAACATATCTTTTTTATGTTTGTGATAAATCGAAACAAAAAATCTACCAGGTGGTTTACTCATGCAGTATCCCATGCAAGTACTAACCACGACCGATTTAGCTTAATTTTAGCTATAGTCGATCACCTTTAATACCACACTGCTGTATGAATAATTTGAATTTGAACCGAATTAGCGGCTATTTCATGTTTAGAAATGTTTTAAATTCGATATGGTATAATGTGCTTATAAAGGGGCATTTTCTATACATTCACGTAATGTTTTCGCATTTTAACTGCGGGGTTGGCTTTACAATGACTTAGGTCAAACATACAAGCAACTTTGTCAACTCTGCAATCGCTTTTTCCAACTTTGCACACTGTATTTTAACAGTTTACAGACAGCTCATGTGACAACGTGTTAATATAGGCTGCTTTCATCTGGATCAAACATACAATCAACTTTACAATCGCTTTTTCCAACTATGCACACTGTATTTTAACATAGTTGTGTCCATCAGCAAATGGTTTCATTCTTCGTTGAATTTCGTAGTGACTTTACTGACAGTGTTTTGTGATTTTATTCCTCATATAATATCATTAAATTGATTGTAAAAGGAGAAACACTAAAATTAATTTTAGCGCCCTCTATCACCAGGCTGAAACCATGCTGGTTGCTATAGATCAATCTTATGTTTGACTGTCGAGAATGCAGATAACATATGACATGAAATACTCTGCCATGTGAAAATTAAATCCTGATACAGCTTAATTTTGTTGAATTTGACTTATTGAATTATGATTTGTGATATAGATACATATAGATTGCTGTTATTAATCCTGTGAGGGGAAGTATAACTTTCAAGAGGGGGGTAACTGGTAATCGCAGAGTATGCAGTATGAGAGAGAGGAACTCAAGCATAAATTGATCCTTATCTAGAGTTTTCATTATGTCAGACACTGCGTGACTTTGTTGCTACCAGAGTGCTAAGATATCATATTTCAACTAGATCTTTCTTGATAACTTTCTCAACAACAGCAACTTTCACGTTATTAATACTGGTTTTGTCTTCGACTAAACTTCTTGCCTTCCAAAGCAACTTTCACGTTATTAATACTGGTTTTGTCTTCGACTAAACTTCTTGCCTTCCAAAGCAACTTTCACGTTATTAATACTGGTTTTGTCTTCGACTAAACTTCTTGCCTTCCAAAGCAACTTTCATGTTATTAATACTGGTTTTGTCTTCGACTAAACTTCTTGCCTTCCAAAGCAACTTTCACGTTATTAATACTGGTTTTGTCTTCGACTAAACTTCTTGCCTTCCAAAGCAACTTTCACGTTATTAATACTGGTTTTGTCTTCGACTAAACTTCTTGCCTTCCAAAGCAACTTTCCAGGTAAGTTTTTCATCTTCACACAGTACTTTTCTAATTTTCCAAACACCATCAAGACAACATTCAGTCTTTGCATACCACTTTTTTGAAAGTCAAGACAAACTTTTCCCACAATACAATGTAACTGGCTAAACAACATTTCCAATTTTAGCATAGAATTTGACTTTTCTAAGTTACTTACAGATTAGGCTACTACAACTACTAATATTATTACACCCATGACAAACAAAGATTCAATTATCCAATAATAACATTTTATTTGGTTAAAACATAATTGTACATAATGAAATCATATATTTATGAATTCCTATTAACATCATCATAAGACTGTGATTAATCAACCAGCATCTCCAATGAGAGAAATTCTTCTTTTCTTTTGAAATATTCATTAAGACGTTCAATACCATATCTACGAATAGAACAATGAGAACAAGAGCAGGAACAGGTCAATGGGTTTGATTTCTCACTGTATGAACCAGCTACCCACATCCTATTAATTGCCTGATTTCACCTGGGTCAGAAAAAGGGAGGACACATTACTGTGTTCTGTAAGCACTACTATCATCCAGAACCTGCTATTATAGGCTAAACTCAATAGTCATGGTTAATAAACATAAACAAACACTAATGAGTACTTATAAGTAGTGTTATTCCTACTCATATTAGTTCTACTATTGCACAATAGAAGTAACTGATTCTTCCCTGAGATAACCCTGCCATTGCAATCATTTAAATTGTATTGTAGTTTGTTACTGTGAAAATATCAGTTTCAGATCAATGTTATATTCATTTTTATTACTATTTGATCATATCATTTATATTAAAACTGTTATCAAGCTGATATTGTAATGCAGGCTTGCCAAAGTTTATGAACTACATCATTTATTGTTCTAGTAACAGGCACATGCTGTAAGATTCATTGTCCACCACATGCTTGGCAGATATGCAAGTTACTCAGGTTTGGTTAGAACTTAATTTACTTGTATTAAATTATTACGCCAACACTTGCATGTGACTCAAGTGATCAAGTCTTTATACCAGCACTGTCTGTAAATCAAACTTATTTGTGGAACACGCCTATATTTATGGTATTTGAGGTACAAATAGTGGTATTGACTGGCACTGACTAATAAACAAGCGGCATATTCGCTTCTTCAGACCAAGCCACAATAACTATATGCTAAGGAAATGTTTTAAATTTTTATCTTTTACCACTTGTCAGTGTGCAAGTAACAGACACCTCATTATACCCCTGAAAATATACTCACCCTAAGAAATCAAAATCAATGGCAGAATTGGCTGACTGTATCAGTGCCCATAATCCCCAAAATAAATGGCATGCCTGTAACAAAATGAAATATTCTAAAATTATTTTTCTATTCTCATCATGCAGTATTCCATCATTTTACTGTTATGTTGAAATGTTGACTCACAGTCCAATCAAATTATTGTTATGTTGAAATGTTGACTCACAGTCCAATCAAATTATTGTTATGTTGAAATGTCGACTTCCAGTCCAAGCAAATTATTGTTAAGTTGGAATGTTGACTTCCAGTCCAATCAAATTACTGTCATGTTGAAATGTTGACTCACAGTCCTATCAAATTATTGTTATGTTGGAATGTTGACTTCCAGTCCAATCCAATTACTGTCATGTTGAAATGTTGACTCACAGTCCAATCAAATTATTGTTGTTGAAATTTTGACTTCCAGTCCAATCAAATTATTGTTAAGTTGGAATGTTGTCTTCCAGTGCAATCAAATTACTGTCATGTTGAAATGTTGACTCACAGTCCTATCAAATTACTGTCATGTTGAAATGTTGACTCACAGTCCTATCAAATTATTGTTTTTGAAATGTTGACTCACATACCAATCAAATTATAGTTGTCTTGCGATGTTGACTCACAGTTCAATAAAAATACTTTTATGTTGAAATATTACTTCAGTGTCCAATCAAATTACTGTTATGTTGAAATGTTGCTTCGATGTACAATCAAATTATTATTATGTTGAAATGTTGACTCACTGTCCAATCAAATAATTGTTATATTGATATAGTATCTAATCCAATTACTCTTATGTTCAAACCTTGTTGCAAAGTGGTGAGAATTGGATGTGAATTAATTAGTACACATTTATAAGATACACTACACAACGACAAGATTGCATATAGTGGTGCTATCCATGTATCTCCTGTATCTCCCATAATTTCTCCATTAGTAACATGTGCGCTTACGCTAATGACAGAGGCATGTCTAATGTACAAATAGTCATATTGCAATGACCTACCATACAATAAACGCAATTGTTTTTTTTGTTTTTTGCTTTGCTTGTGTGTTAGGTTGTTTGTCTCATGCACTTCTCACCATTCTAGCATTGACAATTTCAATAAAACTTGGCTACAATGGCCCAATAATGAAGCTAATTGACTAGCAACTGCCTTACAAACTTGCTGAATAAAACGCTAAAATTATTACTATTTGGTACCAAAACTAATTCCTCTTCCAGTTTCTGCTGTATCACTATCAAACTATAAGAACAGCTCAAAAAACATAAAATTGGAATGATAGGCACCAAAACTATCTAACCATCTAAGCACCAGACCTACAGTTTCCAAAGTATAACTTTCAGATACTTTTTAGTTTCATTTCTAAAATCGCAACCTTATAAATTTTCAAATACTGACGCTATCCTTCATCTAATGGCTGGTTGTTCCACTGTTACTTACCAAGACAAACTTGTTGACTTGTACATACAATATTTCAGTGTCTTTCTTAGTGACATATTTATTAATTCCTCTCATTGTGTACCAGTCTGAGAGATATTTATGCAGCCATTTTAACTGATATTCTTTTTCAGGGTATCTATTGTAGTCCACTTCATCAACACCTAGAAAAATTAAACACATACATACGATAATCTATTATTACAATATCATGTATTACAATAATTCACTTTATTCCCAACACTATTTTTCACATCATAGCTCAGTCAGTATATGTTTTGTTTAATAACTAATTGCATTTTTACTGTAAATTATTCAAGGTCAGTTAGGCCAAAAGAAAAAAAAATTGGTATCTGGTTGTTGTGTATGTCATGCAGTTCAAATATATTTTTGTTTACTCAAAAAATCTAAAAAAGACAAAGTGCTGAAGGTATTGTCTGCAGCAGTGCTTCACCAGTACATTACAGTTATGCATATTAAGAAGAACACATGACTATTTATGCTAAGTAGGTAATTAATATGCATACATTTCAATCCTGAAGTAATCAGATCTGCGGATTATCCAAAGTCACCTATGTATCTAGTTTTATTAAAATTTAATGAGTGGTATTCAATTAATCTGTGGAGCACCTATTAAATTGGTTAATTTATGCAAATTAGGTAATTAGTAACCACAAAATTTAACCATAGACTGAAAGTGTGTATGGCTTATCCGAGAGCATTTATATACCATGTTTCATTAAAATGTTTGATGGTACTTGCGAAACAAGTGAAAATACTCAAAAAAATGGGTAATAGGTATGCAAATTAGATCATTAATATGCATACATTTCAACTAAAAAATAATGAGGTCTGCAAATATCCTAGAGCATCTATATAATAAGTTGTATTAATATTTGCAGAATGTTGAAAAGTGAAACGGCATAAAATTGGCTAATTAACATGCAAGCGCAAATGCTTAAAACTGGCTAATTGATATGCATATTTGGTTATTAATATGCATGTATTTCAACCAAAAACTAATCAGGTCTGAGCATTATCCCAGAGCATCAATATACCAAGTTTCATCAAAATCTGATGATTGAGTCTTGAGATAACAGTGGAAAAGACACACACACAC